ATTCTTTCTAGACTGATGCCTTTGTAGGAGGGACAAGGACCTATCTGTAGGCTAGATTATGAGGAGAGGGTCAAGCAGGGCTTGACACAAGAGACCATTCCCAGAAAGCAGCTCCCTTGGCATAGTGGACTTGTGCTTCCCCTATTTCATCATATCATCAGTCCCAGCACCAAGGGCTGAGGCACGTGGGTTTTTCAAGTTCTGGAAGTGAATGTCATGTTCAAGGAGGAACAGGAGACACTTCTTAAAACTGTTCCTCCAATTTTAAAGAGTTGATACTATTTTTCACAAGGATGTTGGAGCAGAAGAGCCACAGAAAGGCATTTACTACACCCCTATCTTTCATTCTCACTTTAGTAAAGACTCAATTTACTGTCCAGCTAGAAATTACATCAGCCCTAAATTAGGTATTAATACTGCTGTGGCTAAACTTCCATTTTGTTAGCAGCAGCTTAAATGGTCACAGAAGTAAGAGTCACCTTCTTTAGCTGCATCTCATGCATCTCCCTGAAATCAGGACTTCAAACCCTGTGCTGCCAATCCCATTAGCCTTCTGCTCCACATTGCTCCTCATTCCAAACCACATCCTTCCTTACAGGTCCATCAGCCTCCTCAGGCCCGCTCCCCACCCATGTCAGTGTGAATGACAAACATCCAGCATTCAGCATCCAGACATGGCCAGCTCAGGAATTCTCTGTGCTTTTGGCAAGCCACCCACCCATCCCCAGGCACTTGCTGTATCCAAGCTGTGCAGGTTCCTCAATGAGCACAGCTGCCTCCCATATGCTCTGGATCTGAATGGAAAAGCCAGATGTGCTTCCATAGCTTGAGCTAATAGGCAGGATATTCTAGCTATTGCCAATAAAACAGCATTACAAAAGAGAAAACAGCATACAAACTTCCCTGGGATGCAAGAGGCTTGGTCTCCCATCCCTACTTTGATGCCTGTTTAGGGACTTCATGTTAACCAGTAACAGGAGAGTATAAACGCACAAACCTTGCAAAAGGACTGGCAGAGGGTGTGTGCCTTCAGCACAGTCTGGTGGGAGATGCTGGTTTGACCTATGCCTCCGGCTGCCAGAGTCGGGCAGCACGATCAGTTGACTGCACTGTAAGCCCCCCAGTGCAATATGAAAGCAAGGAGAGGGAACAGGCATCCCGCAGTCTTTCGACATCCCTCCACTTGCCGTGACCAGCACAGGTTAAGTATTTGCACAGGCTGGATTTAGCATCCCAGCTGAGATAGGAAGGCAAATGTACAGCTTTAGAAAATGAGCTCAGCTGTGAATCTATGCAAACCTTGAGATACAAATGCTGAACATCCTCAGCCATAGATGACAGGAAAAATTCCATGTCTGAAATCCAAGGCCCGAACATAAATCACAAGCATCTCTCTCTGTTCGGTGCCATGAGTATAGCCCAGCTAAGCAGAAGTGGAGAGGTCTAGAGGGTAACAGCCATAGGCTTAAGGTCATTAATCTACTACTCTAGGCCAATTTTTTTGCGGACGTTCATGTTGTTGCTTTGTTGCATTTTTTTATACTTAAGTTATGAGTTGCTGGAGTATGATTTTTTTTTTTTTCCGCTGAATACTGCTACCTATATTGAATTTAATGGAGGGTTTTTTCTTCAGTCTTCTAAAGCACCTTATTACTTCTTCTGAAGCACACAAATTTTATAGAAACTTAGAACCAAACCACGGTTTAATTCTGTGATTAGTTCCCTTAATTCACCTCAAAAGCTGGACATCAGTCAACAACAAATGAATTGTCAGGAGCAAATTCAACTCTGAAGATGAAGGAACCCTAAGAAAATAATTTCCAACAAGGAAGCTGGAAAAAGAACAAAAAACAACACACCACATACAAACATTAGAACAAATTTGTAGTTGTATTTTATTTAATCAATGAAAATCTACCTTAAAAACACAAAACCAAATTTTGTAACCCAGTACATCGGATTAGAGAAAGCTTCGAGCTTTTAAGCACAAGCCAGAAGTCACAGTCTCAAATGAGAGTTTCAGAGCCCAAAGCAATATGCTGGAACAAAGTAGTGTCTTTACGTGGAGGCATGCTCCTTGCACCATTAGCGTGGGTTTTGGGTGCAGCACTTTACGTAGCTGTCAGTTATAAGAAGCAGCTTTTGTATTTGTTTTGTAGTTAAGTTTGTTGCATTGCTTACCTAGGCCCTGGATTAATGGAGAAAACAGGCAAGTTTAAGCACTTGCCTGTCCAATTACTACCAGCAGACAATTTACACTGTAGTAAAGCTAGCTTTATTTAAATGAGGTTCAGACAAGAATTAACTTTACATATTATTAACAGCTTTGGAGCTACAAACGTAAGAATCAGGATTACACAGGTCATGCTACTGTTAGGTCGTTTTACCTGCTGCAGTTATTGCAATATGGCTTAACGTACATAGGTATAGAGTTTGTACAAATTCAGCCAAGTTTGCATTTGTGAGGTGTTATTAAGAGCACGATTAACTTGAAAGCCAACTTCAACCTGTGGAAACCAAGGGAGGTTGTTGGAATTGCCCAAAGCTCATGGGGGAAAGCTGCCGCTAACCATGGACAGAGATAGACTGGATTGTTTGAAACCATGTTGCTTGGCTTTAAATATTTATATAATTTGCTCTGAGGTAAGGGTGGCGGGGGGAAGATCTTTTGATGCTTCCACACAGGGCAGCACCAGATGGTGCAATCACACCAGTGCAATCAGTCACACTGCTTGCTGTACGTGCAGCCTGGAGGAGAGGCAAGCACCTGCCGTGACAAGAGCATTTGTACACTAGAAGTTGATTTTAAAATAAATTACTATACAGGTAGGATAGCGAGCTATTGTTCAATTTGATGGGTACTGCGATCACAAAGTGAGATCTGCAATCTTCACTTCAGAAATCAGAGCTGAAAGTACAGGCTTGTACCCCGTGTTTGATTTTAATGTAAACAACAAAAGAGAGGACCAACTCCTGATGGGGACGGACATCCCAGGACCCTCAGTTATGGGGCTTCTTTCCATCATGGAATCACCCTGGCTCCTTCTGGTCTACAGCTGTTGTCAGTCAAACCCACCTTACATAAAGGCTTTTTAGATCTTGGCACCCCAAAAGGTCTTATTAGCTATTTGCAATCCAAGGCAGAATTTACCACCAAGCCCTTACCCTCCTTCCTCAGTGAAGACAGGGAATCGATAGGAGCAGGGAGGATTTCAGGAAATGCTGTGGCAGGAAAGAGGTTCAGGCCAGGGTTGGGAAAGGAGGAAGCATGCATGCAGGAAGGATGTTGGTGTAGGTATGGGTAAAGAGGCTTGGGGTCGGATAGGGCAGTGACCAGAAATGAGCAGACTCTGGAATGAGAGGGGCTGTGGTACTGCTGGGATTACTACATGAGCAAGAGAGTGGGGAAATGGGAAGCCTGGAGGGTTCTCAGAAACCAGGGAGGCCTGCAGGTAGAAGTGGTTGGTGGATCTGACACAGGTCAGAGCACTCCTTTTGTCTTTAGAAGCATCATAGTTCTACATTAAAATCAGAACTGGGTTTAGGGTATACATATAAATATTCAAAGCAAGACAGCCAAGTTTATGCGAGATTTTACAAGGGGGAAAACCTGGAACAATAAATAGGAAACTACTGTTATCAATTTTCCGCTCCAATGGTTCAATTTCTTCTCCAGGCTACTCGACAAAATTCATTTACGGGTACACCTAAACGGGACTGAAGTATCATAGCTCTACATTAAAATCAGAACTGGGTTTAAGACATACATACAAATATTCAACACATTACAGTCCAGTCCTGAGACCTGAAGTCTGGAACAACAGAAGAAAGGTATTCTCAGTCTCCTTTCAAGCTATGCCGTAGAATTTCTGACTAAATCAGGCCTGCACAAATACAGCTGAAGGATGGATAGAGATACCTGACTGGGACTGAAAGGCAGCATTCTTGAGCATCTTGCTCAAAAATTTGTGCGTGATCCAGTTCCTGCTGTTTGGTAAAGACACGTCTGCTGCTCGGCCAGAAGTCTCGTGTGTTCTCATCACTCAGCCCTCCTCTTCCCCCTCACGTGCCAGTCGAGTGGCACCTGCGGCCACTCGTGGGTCACATCAAGGCAGCTACGGGAGATGGGGTGTAAGGGAGACTGCAGGAAGAAGGCAGGGGGATTCAGGGATGAGTGAAGGCATTCAGGGAGATGGCACAGACAGGACACGTGGTAAGAGAGGGGACGGCAATAACTGTGGCACAGATTTTAGTGGTCGGTCCATTCACTCAGTGTGAATCTCCGGTCTAAATGGTGTATTTTGGGCAGAGGCAAATGACCTTTGAATGGAACACATGTGGATACAGCCAACATTAAAGGCATTGGGTTTTTAATAGAAATGACAAATAGGTGAGGTCTTTAAAAGAGCAGATGTTAACATCCAAGAATAAAGGGTAGTGAATAAAGCTCCTGGTTCTGTCACAGGATTGTCAGTCATTCTCTAGGACTGGCATCTCTCCAAATGCCACATGGATGCTTAGCACATCTGAAAGAGGACAGTAAAAAGAAGCTGTATTAATGACAATTTGCTCCCTCAAGAAAATCTTATTTTCCCAAACAGTTCTCAAAGACAGAGATAAAGGTCTCATGACTTAGTTAAGCAAGTGCAGTAAACATCCTAGGGAGAGACTGTACCTATCATTTCTAATTCTGATTTCACTGAAGCACAAAGAACTTAGGTACATGAGGCACTCCAGGTTTACTATGAAAGGCAACACTCACACTCTTCAGGATTTCAGAAGGTTTCTTAGGAAGTGTGTTTGTGGATTAAATCACATAACTTTCTACCTCCCAGAAATAACAGCCTAATCTACAGGCCAAGACCAAGGTAATTAAAGTGAGGGTAGGTGTACAGAAAAGAAACAAAACAAAACAAAAAAGAGACACAACCATTTTAGAGACATCCCTCCCCCCAAACTATTTAGGAAAAAATAAACTGTTGGCTAAAAATTCTACTTACATTCAAGGCCTCAGGAGCCACTAAGCTCTGACTCTGCGGACTATCGCACTGTGTTCCTTCTGGGCAGCTATCATCCTCCATTGTCTGTGTTTTCCCATCTTCCACTGGCGTGTGATGTTGTTCTTCCTCCTCACTTCCTGTGCATATTTGCTGACCTGTATGCTGGTCTGGGATTTCCATAATCCGCCCAACCTCTTTTTCCCTTAATTTTGGTGGATGTATGTCTAGGGGGTCTTTGGTTGAATCTTCTGAAGTACTTTGATCTAGTGTTGATTTCTGAAGACTCACACTTTCCCTTGAAACATCTTCAGGGGTAGTCACAATTGTTAAAGAATTCTGACTTTGTCCATCTTCCAGCATCTCAGAAGTTAACAGCACATCTGTTGTTTTTTCTACAATTGTATGAATTTCTGCAGAATCTGTTAAGGTAGCAGTTTTCACTATTCCTGACTGCTGGAGCTCTTGTTCTTTAGTCCATATCTCTTCCTCTTTTACTGGAAGTTGATGATCCCCCTGCATGCTTTCCAAAGGTTCAGGTATATTTGTATCTGAGGGGCTATTCCCTACAGACTTAATGTGCTGCTCTGACTCAAAGGCAGCCGACTCTTCTGTTTCTGCAAGTCTGTGAACAGCCGTCTGGATGGCGTTCAGTACAATTTTCGTACTCTGGGACTCTACAGTCACAGACTGAACAACATCCTCCTCACATTCTGTGTAGGTGAGAGACAGACTGTCACTTAGAGGAATACCATTTTGTTTGGGTTGCCCCATACTCTGGGGCCTCTCTTGCTCCTCTGATATTCCATTCACGGAAGCAGGAGTTACCTGAGCCTCAGGTGCTCCTGCACTACCAAGCTCTGCAGTCCCAGAGACTAAAGAGTCAGCAGCAGCAACTGGGACCTCTTCAGCAGCTACTTGCTCTGGTGTGGTGGCTAAGGGCTGTACAGATTTGGCTGTCGTGTCTGCAGGCACTACAGTTTTGGCCATGACATGCTCTTCAACTGCTGCAGCTGCTACAGGCACTTGCAGAGGCTCCAAACTTTCAGGTTGTAGGAAGGCCGAGTCAGAGCCTTGCTCTTGCGCAGCTGAAGCCTCTTGCTGGACAGCAGTTGAACATTCATCAACTCTCACAGCTTCCTGTTTTCCAGATTCAAATACTTCCTTGGCTCTTTCCATAAATTGCTCCTTTTTGTTATCTTCTTTCTGAAAGTCTTGACAGCTGGAGGTTTCCACAAGTTCCTGTTCTTTTTCCACAGCCTCTTCTTCGGCTAAGCTGCTTAGTGCTTCACATTTCCAAGAACTTATATCAGCGAGGACTGCGCTTCCATTTTCAGTGACGTCTGGGCACGCTGATGCTGAACTAGGTATGCTGTCTGCTTCAGTCTGTGCAGGAGCCTCAATGACGGTGGTATCACTCTCTAAGTGCGTTTCAGTTTCAAGCACAGCATCTTCCATTTTGCCACCTTTGGTTTCATCACTCTGGGAGGGAGTTTCAGTTGTTTTTTCTCTGCATTGTGGCTCTAGGATGGGCACAGAATCTTTTGCTGCAATCTGCCTGTCAGCCCCATCCCTCACACTCTGCTCAGCATCTGCAGCTGCTTCCGAACCCACTGTTTCTGAAGGAAGGGCAGAGGTTTTTTCCTCATTCTGCAGAGCAACCTCAGTAACAGTGACTTCTGTGCTTTTTACTCCAAGGAGCACAGCATCATCTTCTCCTTCCTCTCTCTGGGCAGGTGGCCTGCTATGAACTCCTTTAGTACAAGCTTGCTCTTGTGAGTCTAAGTCAGGAATTTCATCTTGGCTTTCAGGTTTAACAGGGACCACAGTGACAGCTGCTTCTGTGCACTCTGATCCCACGGTGAGCGTTCTGTCCTCTCCTTCCAGCTGCGCAGGCTCGTCAGCTGTAAGCCTCAAGGTAGAGGTTTCATCCCTTGTCTCATCCTGCACCTGTGGAGAATTGCAACAGGCCTGTGAAAAAGGGTACGGGCAGGGAGTGACCAGAGACATTCTGGGAGAAAAAGCACCAGAAGAAACAACCAGAAGGAGAGGGGTTATGGGAAGAACATGAGGTGATGTCACTGAGATTGGTGGGTCACCAAGATCCCAGCTGGTGTTACGTTTCTCAGGACACAGAGCTCATTAAACAAAGGGCAGCCTAAAGCCAGGGACAAGCGACAGCACTCAAAACAACACTAAGCCAGGAAGATGGTGGGGAGGGTAGGGAAGGTGGTAGGAACACATCAGCCACAGTAACCCCTGCACATTTAAAGCTGGAGATAGCGGTGTCACCTCTTTTCCTCCCTTTGCAGAAGTACCTCAGCTACAATTGTACCTCTGCCTGTGACCAAAGGTACCATATGGATCGCATAGGTATCACATGTTTTCATATAGTATCTTCAGTCACACCGTGCTGTGCTGGAGCCCTAATAGCAATGGTTTCAGAACCTTCTGATTCACACACAGCATCTCCCACCCCATTTCTGCAGGAATTGCATGCACCTCACTCTGCATACAAGCCTCAGTGGCTGCTGCTTCTGCTCATCTGTATCACTGGAAACAAACTTCAGTTCCCTCAGGCTGCACGAAGGTGGTCCTTGACAGTTGTATTGCCACAACCTGGTTCTAAATTAGATATAATGCCCAACACTTGCTGATTTTTCTTTCTTTGACAGATGACCCTTGGTGTTATGTGTAATACTTACCGTAGTCTGTGCTTCTGGAATACATTCATCTCTTGTCTCATCTACTGTCAAATCTGTTATGGGCAGTTTCTCTTGCTCCGAAGGCTCCTGCTTTGCTAACGGCTCTTCCTTAGGAGTGACTGCTTGTGATGAAGGTTCCTCTACTCTCCTCTGAACTTCACATATTTCTTCATGGTCTTCTACAACTGGCTCCTCACATGCCTGCCACTGGCTTTCATCTCTCAGTACATCTTCATTTTCACCTCCTTCTGTGCGTTCTTTTGTTGGAGCTAGTATTTCACTTCTCTCTGAACCTTCCTGTAGGACACTCTCTTCAGGTCTGGTTTGGCCCTGAATGCTCCCTGCACTTCCCAAGGCCTGGAGGTCATCCTCCTTGCATTCTTCTTTTTTCAGGGCCTGTTCAAGCAAAACACTTTCCTGATCTACAACCTTCCCATCTTTAGCATCATATCTCACTTCTGACTCAATTCCTTCCACTGCTGTAATTACAGTTGCTGCCGTGGTTCTTTCACTAACCAGCTGGGCTACATCTGCTGACTTTACTCTTTCAGCAACTTCATGAAGAACTTTTTGTGTCTGTCTGTCTAATTCTTTCAAGTTTTGTTCAGTGGCCTCTACTTCTTGTACGGGTGTAACTTCCTCTGTAGTATCTGGGGTTTCTATTAACTGTGAAACAGCAGAAACCATCTCAGTTGTCTCCTCAGCAAGGGACATTTCCATTGTTTCTTCAGCACAGGAAGCTTCTGCTGTCTCCTCCAGAGCTGTCACTGCTTCAGAGGTTGGCTCTAGCTCACTTGCTGTGGTGTCATCACTTACATCCCTTCTCGTCTCTGGCACTGTCTTAGCAGCCACCACTGCTTCTTCCACGATAACATCCAATTCGGCTTTTTTCTTAGCTTCTTTCTCTTCCTCTTCTTTTGCCTGTACAATGCACTCTGTCAGGGCAGCAGATATCCAAGACGGTGACCTTTCTTCAATGCTGGTAACCGCCCTTTCCCCTTCCACAACGGTAACAGTAACTGCATGTACCAGCCCTTCATGTGCTTGCTCAATTCTTAGGGTCTCCTCTAATTTTTCTGCTCTCTCTTCCTCTGAGGTTTGTTCTCTCATCGCTTCAGCATCTTTTGCTCGCTGGGCTTCAATTTTCTCCTGCTCTGCTGCTTCATATTCAGATAAAGGAACAACAGCTGGGATATCTGAATCTTCCTCAGTTGCTTCTGCCATGTCTTCTCTTGCTTGTTTAAGAGTTGGTTCTGACTTCCCATCTGACTTTTTCTTCCTACGCCCAGGCATCAGTTTTCTAAATGGAACCCACGATTCATCTTTTCCAGGCTCACCATCCGATGTTGAATGCTCCAGGCTAGATCCCACAACAGAGTCTTCCGTTCTCTCTTCCATTCTGGTTTTGGATTTTCTTCTTGGAGTGACTAACCTTTTAAATGACTCCCATGTTGAAATACCTTCCCCTTCAGATGGGCTTCCAGCTTGTTCTGGGGAAGAGTTGCCTTGTCCTTGATCACTCTCCTGAGAACTAGTAAGAATTACATCTGTTGCTGTTTCTTTGCTTTGTCCAGGTTCTTCTACCTTTTGGCTTTCTTGACCAAGCTTATGTTCAGTTTCTTCATCAGATGATGATGATTTCCTGGCTCTTTTCTTTGAAGAACCTACACATATAAAAGCTTCCCAGGACACGGAGGTGTCCACCTTTCGTTTAGGCTCTTCTGTAGCTTTCTCTGGTTTCTGGTCCATCCCATTTTCTTTTAATTCTCCCTGATTTTCGTCAATGGCGTTTTCAGTTGCAGAGGCTACAGCACTCTTTGTCTTATCGATTTCCTCTTCTTTATCGCTTTCAGAAGGTCTTCTGACACGTTTCTTGGGAGTCACCATCTTTTTAAATGATGCCCAGGGTGTAACGCTTTCTCTTTTTCGCTCCACATCTGAAATCGCAGCATCATCATTTTCAGTGACCTGCATTCCATCTACAGATTTTTCCAAAGAAGGAATTTCATTCACTTCCTCAGGAGAAGAAGCAGAACTCTCCCCCTTTTGTTCCTCCGGGCTATCTGGGGAATCTGATAAGTGCTGAATTAGTTCACCCTGTTCCCCTAACTTAGGTTCTTCTCTTTTGACTTTATGCTTCTTTCCAGACAGTTTTTTTAATCCAGTACCTGTAAAGAGTTTCTTTAAAGGGCTGCCTTGTAGTTTAGTTTTTTCTTGAGAAGACAGCAGTTCAGCTTCATTTGTGATACCTTCTGGAGGCTTCTTTCCAGCTTCAGGATTCATTTCTGTGGTTATTTCATCTGGTTTGGCAGTATCAGACATAACTACACTAGTCTTTCCCTGTAGACCTTCATCAGTGGGTTTGACCGACTGTTGATCATCCTCTGTGTCAACTGAATGCTCAGCAGTAGGAAAGGACTTCAATCCAGGAGCCCCCACACTCAGTTTTGTCTCATGTTCTATGCCTTCTTTCTTCTCTGTGCTTCTATCTTGAGCTTCTCCTTGTGTGTCTAACTTCCCAGTGATATCTTCTGATGTAGGTGAGATTTTCAACTCCGTTTCCTCTGTTTTTTCATCTAATGCTTCTTTCCCCAGCAGAGCAGGTTTATTTCCTTCTCTTACTTCAGATTTTTTAAGCTGCTCGCTAGGAACGTCAATTGCCAAAGATTCTGCTTCAAGTTTCTCTTCAGAGGATATTTCAGTTCTTTCCTCTATTTCACACTTGACTCCAGTTGACTCTGTTTTTTCTCCCACAGGTAGGACTTCCAAGGATGCATTCAATTCTCCATTCACACTGTCTGTAGTAATAGGCACCACAGACCTTACTTTTAGTGGTCTCTCTGACACCTCACTTTCTTTCTCTCCTTCTTCAGGTTTTTCTTCCTTTTTACCAAGATCTTCCGAGACTTCCACCAGGTTCTTTTCGTGTTCATCACCTTCAGCTTTTTTCTCCATCGCACTTTCTTTAACAACTGCTGCTGCTACATCCTGGTTTTGTCCCTGCTCATCACACCTGCTTTGCTCTTCCTTCTCACATGCTTCAGCTCCCATGGCTGCCGCAGTCTTTTCTGACTCCTGCTTTTCACCTTCAGTTTGCTCATTCTCGTGCGCTTCAATAGTTACTGCTGTCACATTCTTCTCCTCATCTTGCTCAGATTTCTCCTCCTTTTCAGCAATTTCAGTTGTTAACGCTGCCCCCTCTTTTTCTTGCCCCTCTTCGTTCACAGGAGACTGTAGTTCATCTTCTTTAGGCTTCCTAAAACTCTTCTTTTTTCTAAATCCAGTCCAGCCCTGAGTAAAAAATTTTCTTAACGGTGATGCAGTATCGGTGGCTAAGGCAGCTGACTGAGAACAAATCTCATTTGCTTCTGGTGTTTTAGGAGATTCGTCTTCTGGTTTTTCATTTTTCAGTGTGTCATTGGTGGCACCTTCTGCAGAGAGTGCATCCTCAGGCATCGCTACTTCTTCTGAGCCGATTTCTTTTTGATCATCAGCTCCTTCAGGGACTTGCGTTTCTTTTTTTACAGTAAGCAGTTGAACTGGTTCCGATTTTTCCGTCTTTTCCTTCTTTACTGTGAATCTGAATCCAACAAATTTAAAAACCTTTTTAAAGCCCAGATCATAAGACTGTGGCTCAGATGCGTGGTCAAGGTCTTCTGCATCTTCGTCTGAAGACGGCAACTGTTTAACTGTATGAGCATCCTCTTTCTCAGCATCTACATGGTCCTTGGTGTTTGAGTCAGGTGGGCTTGTCTCCATAGTTTTGGTGTCTTCCTTCAAAGTTACACTGGAATGTTCTGTCTGTCCAACTGTTAAAAAAAAGAAAATAATTAGTTCCCTTCTCGATTTAATGTCATACTATACCTTTATATACATTTTTTTTTTTCATTTTTACCAAACTTCCCTAAACAGACATGTTATATTACCTGTGTGCCTCTTTTTTGTGCCTTTTTTTTTTTTTTAAGGACTAGATTTTCTTTTAAGATTAGTATAATGCCTTTCCTTCCTCACTGTACAGGTCTTTCCAAAGTTTATTTGTAAATGCACCTTTTGAGCTTATATTCTCTCACTCTCTTTCCTTCTTTTGCAATGTTTTTGGTGGTGGTGGGTTTTTTGGGGGATGGGGGTTAAGTTTGTTGTGCTTTATTTTTCTTTTTTGTTTTACTTTAAAGCACACTTATATGAGAAAAAAATTAGTTCTACTCCATCATTATTCACAGAATATACAGAACAACATATTTCATTATTTCTGAAGCAAAATATCCTTTCCATACAGAGACCACTGAGGGAAAAATATTTTAACGTAAGTATATTGACCTAAAATGGTGTCAGAATAAGAAAAACTCATTTTACAGCTCTATCCCAAAAGAACAGTAATATGTTAAAAACGCCTGTAGGAAATTTCCTGTTTTTCTGAAAACCTGTAACCCTCAAAACAATTACATTACAACATATTTGTTTAAAAGATCATGGATCTTGGAATTCTCCCATACATCCCATCACCACTGCGGTCAGATAGAAATCTTGTCTACAGCAATTCCACTTTACTTAAGAATACTGAGGCGGTTACTTTGCAGGCAGCTAAAATCCCACCCTCCACTGCTCACAAGAGTGTGTTTGCATCATCTCTTTCTTGAGCGCCGTGCCAGTTTTACCTTCAGGACACTGGCAACCCCCCTCTCAGTCTTGCTGGGACAACCGAAGGATTATCGCTCCCTCCAGCCATGAGCTGCCCAAGGCTGGCACATACGTTAAACCCCCCTGAAATGCAGCTGTTAAGAAGCCAGCACATATCCAATTCTGAGCACAAAACTGTAAGCTCACCATGACCCAAGTAAGTAACTTTGGAGGGAAAAGGTGGAAACAAACAAGGACACCAAGCCTTCAAGTTACGCCAGTTAATGCAAAACAACGAGATAGGTAAGACTGCTTTTGCCTATAATGAGAATTTTAGTAACAACTGTACGATGAACATGCCTGATGATGAACAGGACAACGTGTGAAGATAAAACCTATGGCACCTTCAAGACACTAAAAGATTCTTGCGCTTGGATACTGCCAAGATTTCAGTTTAACGTTGTTCTTGACACTTGATTTGGTGCAACAAGTGAAAACGCAAGGGCACGAGTGCGCCCTTCTCTCTGACCAAACTTGTTAGAACGCTAAGACAACCAAAAAGCCAAACCCAACAATGTTTAACAGCAACATCTTGAGAGAAGGAACAGCCCCTTTCTTTTAAGTTGTACGTGTGCTACTTTGATGCCCAAAGGCATGCAGGACACCGCTTTCAGAAGTACATGCATCACTGAATTCCCCAAAGCGATTTAGTTTTTATTTGATCCATTGCCTAACTTAGATCTAACCCTACAGTTGGCCCTGCTTTGTGCAGGAGCTGGACCACCCGATCTCCAGAGGTCCCTTCCAGCCTAGATGCTGCCTCGATTCTGCTTGCCTGTGTCCTCTTTGAGAAGAACGGCGCCTTCATAAGCATGAAGACAATGCACTCTACGCGAGGCTGAAACACAAGTAAATAGTAAGCAAAACTAGATCTACAAGTATATTGGCTCAAAAAAAACTAGGTAAGGGGAAAATTATGTTTATATTCACTATCAACAGCCTACTGGGCTTTGTTGCTTAGTTGACATAAGCAAAGCTTTTTATTTTTCCCTTTTAACAGTTTAAAATTATTTCCTTTAATTGGTAACTCCTAATTCACTCAAGTGTTCACTTTTTCTTAGATGCAGAAAGAAATTCATTGTCATTTCTTTCAAACTATGTAATTTAAGAGAAAGCTTATCAAGGCTTAATGGTAATTCATAGCTATTGCTTCAAACAATAGGGTACATATCACATACTTTGTAAGTATTTAGTAACAGGTACTTTAATATACTCTATAATCTTTAATATACTCTAGATATACACACACAGATAGATAAGGGTGTATTAACTCCTCTTTTTCCTGGGTGAAGAAGGTAGTATTTCTTCCCTTTCTCTATGCTACAAGTATTTTTCTGGCTCACCAGCTATGAAATTAAACCCTGATCATTTAACATTAAATAAAACACTGTTCATGAACCAGGTCCCTTAGCACCTCCCATGGAAACAAGGTCTCCCTTCTCTTATTCCTTAGTCCTGCATTAATGCCAATGTGCTTACTCTTAAGATGTATGGAAATCTCTATCTCCATCTGACACCACTCGGACAAAGGTGGAGCAACAAATGGGGCTGAGAGCCAGCGGGGAATGTTGGGTCTAAGTGGAAAAGACCAGAAGCAGGAAGGCAATAGGAGCAGAGGAGACTTCAGAAGACACTCGTGATTCCTTTCAGGCAACTGGTGGGCAGATGGAGACACACAGAGAACTTTCTAAGGGTTTCCTCTTTCTCTTGCAGACAGGCCCTGGGAAGGCATTCTTACCATTCTGAAAATCCCGAGATTTCAAAAAATATAAAAAGTTGCAGTTGAGGCTGCGTTTCTTTTTTTTTTTTTAATTTAATTCCTAGAACACAAATTTAGTGTTTAAGAGGAGTTTCAGGGGTTTACAAATAAACAGGATTACTGTAAGATGAAAGGCTGCAAGAATTGGGCTTGTTCAGCCTGGAGAAGAGAAGGCTCCGAGGAGACCTCATTGCACCTTCCAGTACCTGAAGGGGCTACAAGGAAGCTGGGGGGGACTTTTCACAAGGGCCTGTAGTGACAGGACAAGGGGTGATGGGTTTAAACTGAAAGCAGGGAGGTTTAGATTAGATATCAGGAAGAAGTTCTTCATGGAGAGGGTGGTGAGGCACTGGAACAGGTTGCCCAGAGAAGCTGTGGATGCCCCATCCTGGAAGTGTTCAAGGCCAGGCTGGATGAGGCTTTGAGCAACCTGGTCTAGTGGAAGGTGTCCCTGCCCATGGCAGGGGGGTTGGAACTGGATGGTCTTTAAGGTCCCTTCCAACCCTAACCATCCTATGATTCATTCTATGATACAGAATTATGAATGAGTGGGGTATCCTATTTCCAAAGTGAAATGCAAGACTAGTGTCAAGAATATGAAGAGATGCCTTTATACACGGAATCAAAGCATTTTTGCTTATTCTAGATATACACTGATGTGTTTATAACACCCCAAGACAAGGCTTGGTATCTGTAAAATGCTTTGCAGGTGAAAAGAGCAGAATAACTATTATGAAATCTGCAGGTATGGATACATATTAAGATAGCAAAGACAGTCATAACAATAGAGAAACAGAGTTTAGAGGTACAGCTTTCAAAACTGTTAAATCAGGCCAACAGTAATTAGGTCTTCCTTGAGAGTCCAGCAAGCACGCCACCTCGCAATACTTCATTGAATAAATTGCAAAAGACACTGACTGACCAAACACATACTTTTAATACCAGACTGGAAAGCTGCAACTGTGCTACACACATCACACTTCCACCACTCCTTCACTGTGCGCAGCGGGTGTGCTTGTCGACTTGGTCCAGGCACTACCCCTTCAATTCCACAACAAAAAGCATTTAACTTGTCCAGCAGGTATTTCACCCCCGAGGTAAGCCAGGGCTTGGGTGTCAGCTGTTAGGCAACCTACTGCGGTTGCTCCCAGTCTCTGCTTTGTCTGCATCTTTCCCATTTAAATCATGGGAAGAGTCTTTTAAACAGCATTTCTGATGCCCTTCCTCAGCATTTGAGGGGAAAGATGCCATTCAGGAAATTTGGCTGCTGCCAAGAGGCTGCCACTGTTGCGTGACAAGCCTGCAGTGCAAAACGTATCCAGGTCGTACTTTCACAAGATACACCCCAAAGTGTATTTTTGTATCCAGTGGGGCGCAAAAGAAACAGAAGACCCGAGAAGTCAACTGTACACGTTGAACTTTAGCAGTCGGATTCTTTAATGACGTTTTTATTAATGACATTCGTGGTGCCCAAACATTGTTAGTGCACTTCTGAATGCAAAGCAAACCATAAGTAACTCCGCTTGGAAAGCTCTGGAAGTTACCTACACAAGGTATTGTTGTTCAGAGTACTGTACCATGTCACAGCCACAGGTATTTTGGCAAGACAACTAGCACTTTCTGAATGAATTCATAGAACTTGATAGCATCTTTAAGAAACACAGGAGAGTCTCATCAAAATACTTACTAAGAGGGGAAAAAAACCCAAGTAAAACACTGCTATGAACACAATTCCTTTAGGTCTGTCCTGAGCAGGGCTGCACTTCACCAGCTATGTGCTAGTCAAGGAAAACAATACAATAAAAATACATCCAGAGGCAGTGATAAAAATCAAAGGCAGTATCATTAAATTGATCCACTTTGCTATTTAAACCCACTGTGGCTAAGAACTAATGCTGAAATTCTATTTTAACTGCTTACAGACCGGTTAAGCTTTCAAACAGTTTTAATTAAGGCACTGCTTGCATTTTAATAACTGCAGGTCATTTGTTTTATCCTGAAAGAAACATGAAATTGATGGTCTCAGGGAATGAAAAGTGCTTGATTTCACAATTTCATAGGTATCTTACTCCATGGTAAGAATTTATTTGTGTTTTATCAGAAACATAATGTTCAGATGTGAGAAAGTTAGTATTTTCAAAATGCCTGAAATAGTGTCCCATGCCATTAAAAATTAAACTAAGAAATAACACTTCTCTTAGTAGGCTGGTAGGCATTGTTGGCAGTGCAACTTAACTGCTTCCACCATCTCATCTGCCTCTCGAAGTGGAAATGTGTTTCTCCCCCCGTAGTTGCCAGAGGGTTAAAAAAAAAAAAACGGCACTCTGACTGCAGAGTTAAATCCACAGCACTTCATGTGCTCACAGTCAACCATGTCAACATCTGGAGCTGGTTGACTTTTCCCCCTAAGGATTTGCAGCACGGCCCTGGATTTTTTCCATGAATTCCCTACATTCTCAATCTCTCAGATGTCACACAAACCCAGCACCCGCCTCACAAACTCCACTGGCCACCAAAAGGCTCCAGAGAACTTTGTGCTGGTTTCATTTATTCCATGTTTAAGTATTTAGGGCCAAATCGTGCTTCCGGTCACATACACAATACTCTCAGTAGGTTTGCATGAGCATAAACGAATGCCAAAGCCATAAGGCTGAAGGGGTACTTTACAATCATTTGCCTCCGTAGTATCTATATTTACCATGAATGACTTCTAAAAACCCACCTCTAAAACTCTCATGACACAGAAACAGGAGAAGCAATTAAAAAAAATTGATTTCAATGGAGTGTTCATGATACAACAAGTTTTAATTTGTCAAATTTAGTTTCCCTATAACTGCACAATCCTTCTGATTACTACTGGAAACATTTAAAGACAGAGTCAAGAAAGGGTAAAAACTGACAGGGATGGACAAGTGGTAATTTTAAACTGGTTTTTGTTTTTTAATTACAGTATCTATGAAAAACCTGCCCTGCACAGATTTATTTAGAATAAAGTAGCTATTTGGAGTTATTAGTGAAATTGAATACTTCAGCAATTTAAAAAAAAAAAAAAAGGCAAGCTATGCTTTTAGGTTTTCCTTGCAGAGTGTAAGAATTGGACATTATACCACAAACCCTGATCCTTTTAACCACAAGTTTCAGGAGGTTGGGTTTAATAAATCAAACACACACACACCACCCACTCAGCAGAAACAACATCACGCAGAAATATGCCCAGGTGTTACCCTTCCAACAATTATCTGGGTGGGGTTTTTTTATAACTACAAGGTTTGAAGTCTGTGACACTGCTGCTTCTTGACAATGTATTTCACAAATTCTTCCTTCCTTTCCCTA